GGACTACTCACAGCCTGTGAGACTCTCTATATATGTAATATGTGTACACACACACACACACACACATATATATAAATATATATAGAGAGAGGGAACAGAATTGATAAAACGAATACACACATAGGCATATATTGTTCTATCAAATCTGTTCCTTCAGAGAACCCTGACTAATACATTTGTATATGAAGCAAAATTTGTATATCAAAGCTGAAGAGATCGGAAGTGGCCCTTTTCATCCCTGCAGATGCTGGAAAAATTGTATGGTCTCAGCCTTCATCTGACGGCCACTCTTCATTAAGGGTACAGAATTTCTACTTATGTCTTGTGCTAATGCTCAAAATGGTTGGGATCTTGGAATATTTCCGACTTTGGAGCACTGTGGTCTGACAAGCTAACCTGTAATGATCATTTGGCCATTTCCAAGAGAACCAGCTTCTGTAAAGAGCTTCTGCACTTGGAATTCTGGGTATCTTGGTCAAGAAACAACAGCCCTGGGTCAGAGCGAGCCTTCCCACACTACAAGGTCTCTAACTTAAAACATGGCCATTTGAACAGAAGCGTGCAGAGAGCTGCTGTCCAGGGTTGTGGTGCTCTGCACCCTGGCACCCCCTAAGGAAGCTGGCCTGGAACCTGACTGAACCCTGGCACCTCCTAAGGAAGCTGACCTGGAACCTGACTGCACCCTGGCACCCCCTAAGGAAGCTGACCTGGAACCTGACTGTCGCGTCACAGATGTTATTTATTTTCTGCCTTAATTCCTTTGAAAATATTCTTTTATTTAAAGCTTCTCAACTGTTATAGCTCAATGCGACAGTGGATCTACCAGGCTGAGCTATGTGACTTCACATGGGATAAGTGTCTGGCCTCCTCACAGTCTGTATCTTCCACTTAGCTGTGGTTCTGGGTTCATTAAACCACAAGTTAAATATCTGGACTATCTTTAAGCAAGGGTCATCCTGTGTTTATTAAACAGAATTAGGCAGTATTTTCCAGATTCCTGTGCAATAAACCAATCTCTTGGGGTTTTTTTTTTTTGTCTTTTTTTCTTATTCTTTGATGTCTCATGATTTTTCATGTAACGTTTTAAGGGTCTTTTTTCCTTAGAAGTGGGAATTGACAGGAACTTGCAAACGCTTGTTCTAGTTATTCATGGTGGGGCAGCAGATGTCAGGACCCAGCTAAAGGAAAAGTCTCTCACACTGGGTGTGGGCTTCACTAAAGTCTGGGACTTGAACTGTGTAAGTTTTTGTTCAAAAATCATCTGGGTGATGGATGCTCACCTTACTAGACCTGGACGGAGGAGGGTTTTCCTTGGACTTCCCACGTGACGGAGAGCTCTGATTGCTCTTTGGGCTGACGAAAGAGGGGGACTTGATTGGGGGAGGGGGAGGGAAAGGGGAGGCGGAGGTGGGGAAGAGACAGAAATATTTAAGAGACAGAAAAAAACCTTTTATTTATTTATTTTTTCCACTTGAACTCTCAGTGATCTCCTTCCTATTTGAAATATGGCCTCTTCTACATTATTTTTTTCCCTTGAATGACACAGTGGGTTTGACTATTTAAGCCCACATGCATTGTAAATTATTGCAAGTTCACAGATGAAGGTATTTTAGGAGAATTGTCACCTTACTTGTGGGAACATGGACAAAAGTGTCTCTTCCTTCCCCATTGTTTCTGTTGGAATGTGAACCTCCAACATAGGCTTATAGGTCTGAATATTGGTTCAAGAGCAGGTGGAAATCTTTGGGAAGCTTGTTGAACTTTTACAAGTTAAATTCTGGAGAGAAAAAGTATGTCACCAGGGCTAGTCCTTGAGGTTTTACAGCTCAGCTGTAACTGAACACTTCCTGTTCTCTTTGGTTCCAGAATGTGATTGCTGTGTGACCAGCAGGTGCCTGATACAATGTCTGCCCTGTACTCTGTCTCTTGAGAACTGAAAGGCAATAGCTCCCCAATGTTAGCTTTTCCCAGAGTTGTTTACTAAAACAACAAGACAAATAGCTCAGACAACAGTTAGCCATCACCATATATGAATTTTCAGTGGAAGGTGAAGCCTCATGATGACCCCATTATTATGAATGATTCTCTACTCAAACTGTTAGTACCTGCAGTATAAACAGTAACAGCAATACAAAAAAACTATGGAGAGAGAAATAACACCTTGGTTGATTAATAAAGCCTCAAGAAATATTCTTTTATACTGGCAGAAATTATATGCTATATATTATACATATTGCTGACAATGGTTCTTACTCTAGGCACAGTGGTTAGCCTAGAAACCATATACATAAAACAAATGAACTTGGTCCACCGCTGCTGCCTCCTTCTTCTGCCGCTCCTGGTGCTGCCTGGGTGCTCCTTCAGTGCAGACCTGGTGCCTCTTTTGTGAAGTGGCAGCTGAGGAGACTCCGGTGTTCGCCATGGCCGACGAGAAACCCAAGGAAGGAGTCAAGACCGAGAACAACGATCATATTAATTTGAAGGTGGCAGGGCAGGATGGCTCTGTGGTCTAGTTTAAGATGAAGAGGCATACACCAGTTAGTAAGCTAATGAAAGCCTATTGTGAACGACAGGGGTTGTCAATGAGGCAGATCAGATTCCGGTTTGATGGGCAGCCAATCAATGAAACAGACACACCTGCACAGTTGGAAATGGAGGATGAAGATACAATTGATGTGTTCCAGCAGCAGACGGGAGGTGTCTACCAAAAAGGGAACCTGCTACTTTACTCCAGAATTTTGTTATAGACCAAGAATACATTCGCAATTAGAAAGCCGCAATTTGGTTCCACCACATCCTGACTACTACAGTAGAGTTTTCTCTATTCTTTCATTTCCCTGTCCCCATTTCCTTATTGTACATAAAGTAACTGATGTATGTGCACAAGCATATTGAGCTTTTTCTTTCTTTTTTTCTTTTTTTCTTTCTTTCTTTCTTTCTTTCTTTCTTTCTTCCTTCCTTCCTTTCTTTCTTTTTTTTTTCTTTTCTTTTTTAAACTAAAAGGCCTGTTTTGATTGGCATCAGATGGAGGTGGTCTGGGGAAAGTACTGGCTCTGTGAACATATCCCCTGCTCCATTAGTGGCATGCTCCTTCAGCTCTTATCTTTATATTCCAAGAACATGTGCTCAACTATGTCCATAACATCATTGTTTGTCATAGCCAGAACCTGGAAACAACCTAAATGCCCCTTGACCTAAGAATGGGTAAGGAAAATGTAATACATTTATATAAAGTAGTATTACACAGCGAAAAAAAAATTATGAATGAAGCTGTTTGGACCAATGACCTAGCAGATTAAAGTCAGGCTGGAAAACTGAACACACACACACACACACACACACACACACACACACACATACTGAGAGAGGGGGCAGAGTCAGGGAGATACCACATAGCTGCTGAGGGGAAAAATGCTCAGAACCTTTGCTGGTAAGCCACAGTCTTGTGGTGATACACAGATTAATAGAAATGGGTTAATTCTAGATGTAAGAGCTAGCTAGAAATATGCCTGAGTCATCTGTTGAGCAGTGTTGTAATTCATATCATTTCTGTGATTATTTGGGTGTGGGTGGCCGGGAAACGAACAAGCAGCTTTTGAATACATACAAATACAACCTGCTAAGTCCATTTAATATTACTTATACTTACAATTAGAGGGCAGATCACTTGGTGTTGGATTATCAGCTAGGTAGCTCATCCCTGGAGAAGATTATTCCTCCCACTCTCAGCATTTTTTAGTTGCCCATAGTTCTTTGTTTATGTGTGGGATCCCGTGATATCTCCTCCTTCTTCCTACTAGCATGTCTATTGTTGTCCTTGTTCAGGTCTTGTTTGGGCAGCCATTTTGTTGATTCCAGGAGAAACAATCTCACAGCAGATTTTTTGGTCCTCTGGCTCTTACAATCTCTCCATTGTAGTATTTAGGCAGACCTGGCAGTGCCCCTTGGGGACCTGGTAGAGGGCATCATGCCTGTCCCTTTAAAAGGCAGAATTCCACCTACTTCCACCTCTTCTTTCTCTTCCTCTCTCTGCTCTCTCTCTCTCTCTCTTCCCACATGGCCACTTCTCTCTTCCAGTTGACTATCATAAACTCCCCTTTTCACTTCCCTGTTCATTAAATCCCACGGGGGTGATGCTGTAGTAAGTCTAACAGCCAGTGGTTACCCATTGGGACATGGCCTCATATATATATAATATATATATTAAATGTAATACTGTTTATTTAACTTCAAAAACATTTCAGCATTCTAAACATACAAAAAATAACAGAATGTTGCAAATTGCGTTTAGGTGCAGAGGTTCTTGAACTTTTGTTGATGCAGTAGTTCTTTGCTTTGCTGACAATGATGAGCTCTACAGTTTAAAAACAGCTGAAAATCTACAGCACTTAACTAAAGAAAAAATCCAAACACTTCCTCATGCCAGCTGACCCCTCCCCCTTTCCACAGCTAAGAATGTCAGCAGAATGCTATGCCACTATATACAAAATCAAGACAACCTGAAGCTAAATGGATGCCCACCGCAGTATCAACAGGTCCAGCCTCACAGTGCACGCCCTGAGCTACGGCCCCCTCCAAAGGGCATCTTCCCTCACAGCCTCCAAGCCAAACAAGGAGCATCAAGAATCTGTCTGGGGCCGGGCGGTGGTGGCGCACACCTTTAATCCCAGCACTCGGGAGGCAGAGGCAGGCGGATCTCTGTGAGTTCGAGACCAGCCTGGTCTACAAGAGCTAGTTCCAGGACAGGCTCCAAAGCCACAGAGAAACCCTGTCTCGAAAAAAAAAAAAAAAGAATCTGTCTGGGTTGTTTTGTTCTCTTTACAAATTATAGATATGTACAGTTGACAACTCAGGATTTCTAGCCAATAATCAGCCATAGAGTTAACACTACCTTATGAGTTGCAAACAAAATGCCCGAAACATCTTCAAATGCCTTGTCACACCAACAGCAAAGTGCACAGAGTGAGGAGGACACGCAAGTGCCTTTCCATTTGAAAAATGTTTGGAGCTATGTACAACTTTGATACAGTTTCAGGGCACTCCGGACACCCACGGCCACTTCATGTAAACCACTGACACTTTGAGAAACTACAATATGATCGTGATCAAATTTTGTAATTAAATCTAACGAGGGCAATAGACACGGCTCAAATAAGAGATGTGTCAATCACGGCGATTTCCTACTCTAAGATATTCACAAGGAGATGGAGTTTTATTCATCTTCCTCCTCTTCCTCCTCCTCTTCTTCCTCTTCTTCCTCCTCCTCTTCCTCTTCCACCTTTTTCCGTGCAACCTTAGCAGGACCCTTGGCACCATCAAACTTCCCTTTGGACTTATAGTCAGCAACATCCTTCTCCTCCTTCTCCTTCAGCTTTGCGGCCTTGGTAATGTAAGGCTGCTTTTCACTGTCACTTAAGTTATTCCACATCTCACCCAGCTTTTTGGCCACATCTCCAGTGGAGATTCCAGGATTTGTAGATTTGATCTTGGGGCGGAATTCAGAGCAGAATAAGAAAAATCCAGACGGAGGTCTTTTGGGGGCATTAGGGTCCTTCTTCTTCTTGCCTCCTTTAGCTGGTCCATAATCTTTCGTTTCCCGATCATAGCGTACTTTATCTGCCTTCGCCATTTCATCAAACTTTGATTTCTCTTTGCCGGACATTGTCTTCCACCTCTCAGAGCACTTCTTGGAAAACCCCGCAAAACTGACTGGGACCTCGGGGGTTTTTCTTCTTGCGTTCTTCCCTGCAGGTCTGGACGACATCTTGCCCTTTGGTTTCTTGGGGTCACCTTTAGCCATCCTGACTTGACCTCAGTCTGAAATGGTGATCCTGCCTCCAGGAATCTCAGAATGAGACTGGGGCCTCTTATATTATATAGGCCAATGTAGAGCATGAATCTGGGCTCTGGACTCTCTCTTTTCTGGTTGTGGGATTCAGTTTCTGATCTCTGTTCAAGCAGAGAATTCTGATTTATGAGTTTACCTCTAAATAAATAACCATCTTTTCTCAATTCTGAGCTAGTATTGGATTTCTTTTAAGTGTCCTTCTTCATTTAGCACCCACATGGATTCAGACTCCATGTCTAACCAGGTGGATGGCCTAATGGCCTAGCCAGTCCGCAGCCCAGACAGTCTCCCAACCCTGCCTGCCTTGCTTGCTTTTACCTAAGTGTTTTTTTTTCATAGAATTCCCACCACATCAGGGTTTACTGTGTGTGGCAACTTGGAAATTTCCTAAGTGCACACATGACTTCCATGTTCTCCGGCACAGTTCCTTGCCATGTGATGACTTGTGCAGCTTCCAATTTCTGCTCCCTGCCTGTGGGTTCTGGATTTCTTGTTCCATGTATGGAATTGATTTAATTGCTTTTAATTTGTCAAGCAAAGCATATTTCTCAGTATTTAACCAGTACTAAGACAGGAAACTAAAACAGCTCAGGACTGTTCCTGTTGCCACTGGTTGTATTACTTTTAGTCATGACTCTGCAACCACAACATCTGCTGAACAATAAAGATTACAGTTTACTGGATCACATGACAGGTAAAAATATATTTTAGAGAAGAGGCAAAAAATTTGGAACAAAAGGGAAAAGCAAAAGCCCTTGAGACTTCCCACGATCAAATTCTTGGTGAAGGCCTTTATGTTGACCCACAGGTTCAAGCTCTTTACGATGAACAAATCTTGTCCCTATGCCACAAAGCAGCCTAAAATGCTTGAGACAGGATTCAAGAACTAGGAAAAAGAATTAGATCATATACCAGGGTTAAATGGGGCCAGAGAGAACCCTTTAGTGACTTTTTTTTTTTTAACAAAGATTAAGTAAGGCTGTACAAATAGGAATAACAGACCCAGATGCTAGATGAGTACCTATTGAATCTCTGGCTTTTGAGAATGCCAACTTAGAATGCAAAAAGATACCTGGGCCTTTAAAGGTTAGATCAGTACCTATGGATGAATGGCAGCCCACTTTCCAACTTCTTGCCTGCTGGGCTACTTCAGACATCGGCTACCTTTGGTGAGATTCCCTTCTCCCACTGTCCCTTTTGCTGACAATCACCTCTATCAATTTCCTATGAGAGAGGTTTTTTTTTGTATCTTGGATTCCATGACCTTTAGGCCTATTCCCCCACCACCATATTAAGTGATCAGCTTGCACCTTCATTTCTTGAATTTAGGTTTTTCAGGCTCTAGCCCTTTGGCCTTCATGCCTTGTCTCTTGGACTCACATCCTTTGCACTCAGTGCCCTGGCCCCCCCCTTTTTTTTTTCTGATGAGCAACTAAGTGCTTTGAGCCATTATCTTTCTGCCTCACTCATGGGAAACAAACTGACAAAAGCTATAAGCTCATCTACTTCTCTGGGATGCATTTAAAAAAAATTAAAACCTCTACACTTAGTGCCATATATAAAGGCTTCTAAACTCACTTGTCTCTGTACTAAAAATGACCAAAATACCCCTAGATAACAACTCAAACTTATCATCTCTTACCTCCTAAGGAACAAACCTTTGTCCTACATTCAAGCATCCCTCTACCTCAGTTCCAAACACTTCCTCCATGATTCCTGCTCTCCATCTAGCTACACAGTCTGAACAGTCTGGAGGGAGGAGCAGGTCCCTCTTTCCCACCTAGCTGAGAGCTGTCCTGAGACAAGCATTATCCAGCTCAGGATGGTTCCTACCTGTTTTCCAGCCACTCGCCTGCAGCAACATGAACAGCATTTGGCTTGGGAAGAGTTTTTGTTTCCTGTCTGAAAGAGAGATGTGTGTATGTTGTGTCCACACATGTGTTCCTAAGTGTCCTGTATGTGTGTCTTGCTAATTGGGTATGGTTTAAAATCTTTACAACTGCTCTTAAAAAAAATCATGTGGTCAGAGGGAGCACAGGAACAAATAGGTTGTTTAGCCAGAAACTGCCCTCGTTTTTCAATTCACCCTCTCATCTTTTCTTTAGACTGACCCTGCTGGCCAGTCTTCCAGAAGACATCCCTCAGAGTGCCCCTAGTTCTCTATCTCAACGGTGCTTCCTGTGGCACCTGCACCACCCAGAATCACTATCAGGCAAGGGTCTGGGGAGTAAAAACCACAAAGACACATACCCGTCTTCAATTCACCCTCACCATTCCTGAGGGCGATCTCTCAGGGATCCCTAGTTTCCAATCTCACTGGGGGCCTCCACCTGTTCAACTAACCTGTACAGTACCGCCTGTCTACGATGCAATGGTTTGCAAGTCAGGCAAGGGGCTGGAGATTGAAACACACACACACACACACACACACACACAGAGTGGGGTCATCCTTGAAACAAGAATTTTATTGTGTTCCAGGGTAGCTTATATAGGGGTCTCCTTGACTAATGGCCATGCCCCAGCTCTTGGGACTTCTCAGCTGCAAGCCCACCAGAAACCACTCCCCTGCCACCAGGAACTCATGAGGGTATCATGCTCAGAGCAGCTGCAAGCAAAGGAAAACAAGTTGTTTACTCTGGCAGGCAAGGGGTAACAGAAAATTCAGGGTCTGAGGGTCTGCAGTCCCCAACAGGTTCCCATGTATATTCTTTGACTACCTTAGGGTTCTTGGTGCCAGATGCTCTTTTCGAGGAGATCACTGGATAGGCAGTGAGAACTCTGGGTGAGCTATCCCAGATTTTGGTAGTACCGATGAGGCTAAATTCTGTCTTTGTACCTTCTGTCCCTGGTCATCAAATTCAATAAATTCCTCACTCTTTTCACATTGTTTTACCACTGCCTTTTGTAAAGTCTGGATCTCCTGTCCAGTGTTCTGTTCTAATGCCCTCATTGAGGATTCCAAGGTGTGAAGTCTGTCTAGTAAAGGTAATGTCTCATCCTGGGATGTAATTTTTATAGTGTACATATTACTTTCCTGGAGAGACATTCTATCTGTTAACCTATCATAACCATTCAACAGATTCTGATGAATACATTTGGCAGCATGAATTCTCTCAGCAATGTCTCAGTGCCTTTTGTCATTGACTGGGTTTTGTTCATCAAATTGGTTGTATCCTTCAGAGTGCTGAATTTCCATTTTAGATGGTCATTATCAGTCTGTAAAGACTGTGTCATTTCTAGATTATTAAACCATGTTTTTTTAGGAGAAAACATGAAGGACAAAGCTAATACCCAAAATCAAATAGAGGGATGTAGAAGGGAAATCACACAAGCCTTGCATAATATCATACATGGTATAAGTAAAAAAGCTGTTGAATTGTTGTATTGTTATCTGTCATCTTGCCCCTTTAAATTATAAATTTGACCTTATAAATTTTACCTGTAATGAGTTGGAATAGGTGCAATAACCGTTACAGGCCAGTAGGTGTCGCAGTAGCAACCACATGGCTGGCTCAAACAGTTTGAATTGTTTATAGCAATAGATACTGAAAAATATGCTCAAGTTAAAAGCAGTTATTCAGTGTAGATCACAGACTGTGCATTCTACAGAGGTTCCTGGCTGGTCAGCAGCTGTGCAGGGGCAGCTAAGAGATAGACCAATTATATTTTCCTTTATTATAAGGGCAAACTCATGATCAGGAACAAGAAGTTTAAGCTCAGCTGTGTAGCATAGGAACCACAGAGAGAGAGAACCTTTGGCCGCCTGGTGTTTTTCTCTGGGTACTCAAAGGTCACACCTTAACCTGATCCCACCCCTTAAAGATCATTGGCTGTCAAAGATTCCTCATCCGCCAGAGGCATTTTGTTTCATGGATCTTTTGGGCACAGTAATGAAAACTTAAAATGTAACATTGGCTCTCACATCTACATATGTAATGGGTTGTGGGGCACATACTGTATCCAACAGTGGTTTTGACATTCCCAGTTCTGCGACCCTTTAACACAATTCCTCGTGGTCTGGTGACCCCCAACCATAAAATTATTTTGCTGCTACTTTATAATGATAATTTTGCTACTGTTAAGAATTGTAATGTAAATGACATCTGATATTTGACCCGTATGCGAAGGTCATTCTACCTCCAGAGAGGTCACAACTACCAGGTTGTCAACTGCTGGCATAGGATTTGGTGCTGTCTGCAGTTTCAGGCATTCATGGAGAGATTGCGACTGTATTACCTATAAGTAAGAGAGACTAATTGTTCAGAGTCCACTGCCGTGGAGCTAGAGTGAGCCTCCCACTGGTGACGCTGGCGTCCTCTGCTCACACTCAGCTTCCTGTGGATCTGCAAAGCCCATTAACTGAGCACCCAATAGAATGGGGAACAAAAGTATTAATAGGAAATACTCCAACTCAGTAAATCTTTCCACCCAAAAGAAGGGATGTTCTGGTCTCCAGAACACACATTGGTTTGTGCAAAGATGCTTAATAGTCCAAAAGGTGAGTCTGGCACCCTTGTCCCATGAGAGCTAAAGTAATGTTTTAAGTATAAATTACTGCACTTCATATGTAACCATCTAATTTTCTTAATTCCAGAGCTCTTTAAAAAGCCCACTTCCTTCCACTACCATTCCCGTGCCTTGGTCCTCCTTCCCCCTTTTCCTTCACCAAGCAAACCTTGGCTCACTTCTAGACCTCACTCATAGTTCCCTCCAGAAGAAATCTTACCAGTCTTTAAGAAAGCAAGGGCCTCCACAGGAAGCAAAGCCTGCAGGCCAGCACAAGCTGCCACTGTTTTGTCCTTTGTTTTCCTAGTTGGCAGAGAAAAGTTTTTCAAGAAGCTATTTCGAAACTAAATCTCAGCAGATTTTATTTCCAAGTAGAATTAAAACAGGAAGTGAGAGTTGAAAGTGTGTCCTACTGTGTTGAAAGTTACATTGCAAAACCAAAGACTCTT